TTTTTGGGGCAGTCCTAGCAAATTAATACAGGGAATGATTATAATATCCACAGGGAAACAATGGCATGGAAGTGCTTTTCAGCTCTTGAATGCCATACAACCACCATGAAGTTGTACAGTTTTCACTGTTGTCTGGGACTTTCTTTTTCTTTTTCTTTATTCTTTTTTTTTTGTGAGACTAAGTCTTGCTCTGTTGCCCAGGCTGGAGTGCAGTGGCACGATCTCAGCTCACTGCAACCTCTGCTTCCCGGGTTCAAGTGATTCTTCTGCCTCAACCTCCAGAGTAGTTGGGATTACAGGTGCCCACCACCATGTAGGGCTACTTTTTTTTTTTTTTTTTTGGTAGAGATGGGATTTTACTGTATTGGCCAGGCTGGTCTTGAATTCCTGACCTCTTGATATGTGTGCCTCGGCCTCCCATAGTGCTGGGATTACAGGTGTGAGCCACTGTACCTGGCCAGGACTTTCAAAGTCACCTTAGTGAGCGTCTGTTGGTTTTGCCTTTGCAGGGTTCAGTCCCCTTTCTTCTAGGATCAGTGTCTTTAGTACTGTGGGTTACCACACGCACTATGGGTGGATGTGGACTACAGGGCTGACCATTTTCCCCTCCTTCTGGGGATAGGCAGGTGACTTTGGCCTGCCAGCTGGCATATCCCCTTCTGCCGACTACTGTGATTGGGTCTAGAATGGATATAGGGTCCAAATTGCCCAGATTCAATACTAGGACCTGTATGGGACTTAGGGTTGTCAGTAAAGGACAACCTCAGTTGAACTGAATTTTGGATCATCAATGATGTGTTCCAAATATTTGCTAAATCTGGCAACCCTACTCTGACTATTAAAGAGAAGCTTTCTTTGTGATGAATGTGTAGAGCTGGTAGAATGTGAGCCTGGAGCTGTCGGGAGAAAGCCTCACAGGGAGAAAGGCCTTCCACGGGTAAAGTCACTGTAGAGGAAGTGGACCTGAGATTAAAGGCCTGGATCCAGCCATGCCTGAAGCTGGAACAATCTGAAAACCAACAGAGTCTCTTCTTTACATAAGCCCGTGTGAACTGGATTTTTGTAATTTGCAACAAAGAATGATGACTTGTAAAGTCACGATTCAATAGTTAAGGCAATGTGTGAAATCCTCTCAAACCTTCTGCTATAGGTTTGTCCGGCATTTGCAGAGACACGGAAGAGAAGGCTTAGTCTGAAAAGTAATGAAAAATACGTTTAAATGAGTCCAATACCTCAGACAGCTCTGTTTGAAGAGTAATTTCGTTTTCCTTTTTAACAAAAGGCTGTGATACAACACTGCAGAGAAGATGAAGTTTTAAAGGGAGTGGGGTCTTGTCAAAGCTGGTTTCCCTCTGCAGAAAGGGCCGCACAAAAGACCCTTCATCCTGCTGGACTCTCCCTGGCTGCCCAGTCAGTGACAGCATCATAAAAGCAATTGGAGCCACAGGAGTGAGGTGAGCTGGACTCACTTCCCTGCTGGAATCCGAGAATGGCTGGACATCTGTCCTCTGAGAGCTTGGAAATAGAGATGCTTCCCTGAGAGTAGGGTTATTAATCCAATGCTAAGAGATGGAGCAGAGAGAGGAAGCTCATATAAAGACACAAATGGCCTCCCAGGGTCACAGGATTGAGAGAGAGAAAATGAATGCATGAAAGTGTGTAAAAGAAGAATGTCAGCAAAGGAGGATTGATGGGCTCAGAGGCTCCAAGTTAGGTCACCTGAAAGGCAAGCAGAGACCAAGTCCATCCTCACGCAGACTGAAGAGAGTGCTTTGCTCTACCAGATGTGTACACTCACATTTCTTGGTCGGGCCAACCTCTTGGGGGCTGATGTGGGTTGAAAATTTCACAGACTCAACCCTCCCCTTGCTGTGATTCCAGAAGGTCAATTTTGGAGACTTTGGCTTCCTGCCTAGCTGGCCTACAGAGTGGAGAATATGTGGTTCTTCGAGCCAGGTGGATTTCAAAGTGTGTATCGATGGAATGCCCATGCCATTCTCTTTTATAGACTTGTTTTCCTTGTAGCAGTCTCCATTATCTATCCTTCGAGGTGTGGTCAGCTACTCTGGAATGTGGCGGGGTGGAGGCCGGACAAAGTCCGAAACAGGGTCATCACCAGTGAGTGGCTCCTGCCTTTGCTGGATGTCCAGAGTGTGCGTGTGCTGGTGATGCTCCCAAGGTGACATACTGGGAGCAAGGATTACAAGGATCGGAAACCACTGCCTGTGCCATCTACCTTCCTCTGTCCAGCACACCAGACACTAGATCAGCAAA